GTATGACGACCATAAACTTTTCTTAACATTTCGAGCGTTTCAGTTCCGGATTTACCCAGTTTAACACAAAATTTGACGTTAGCTCTCTGCTCGAAATTACGCTCCATTTCAAATCCGCCAGCGCACACAAATACGGTCTATCTTAACGGGTCGCAGCTCGCAGCGCAATGGTCAGACCACATTGAAACCTGCCCGGTTATAAGCTAAGGCTACCCTCCATGTTACTGTCATAGCCCCACTCCCCTCCTCTCTCTCAAAGTTCAGTAATAAAACCAGTCTGGAAACATAATAGCCACACCTCGTATATATGTCGTAGGGTTTTGTGGAATTGAGGGGGATTTGGAATCTCCCCAGGGAGAGACAGGATTCCACTAAACCCGCAGGTTTAGCGGAATCCGCTCAAAGTCGTGTCAATGTCAGTACACCCTAGGGAGATTCCATATCTCCCTGGCTGGAAAATTCCCCTTCCCATGGCTTGCCCCGCCGAGGGAAATTCTCCTTTCGTCTTGCGTTTACAGATTATTTAAGAATGAAGAATACCGTGTTATAGTCTGTTCCCGACCGATATTCTCAGATATGGAATCCTCCTAACACTTTTATTGTGGGTAGCCATAAAGTGATTAACTGGAATTGACATGTGAATGCCACCCTTTTGGGAAAGAATGCGCAGGGTTGTCAGATTCTTTTGGAATCCTCCCATGGCCGACACGACATCCGCAGGACACTCACACGAAGAAGATGCCTAAAAAATCCATATCACGTGTTGACAACCCTATCTATTTTTATGACCCTTCCCATAATGGGCGAGGGCAAAACCCTATCATTTATTGCCCAAAACCTCATCCGTCGAGCTTATTAGCCGTCTTTATTTAGAATTATCCGAAAACTTTGGTCGGGAATAGAATATAGCTATCAGTGAGAATGCCACGCCTGATTCTCCCTGCCACAAACGAGGAATGAGAAGCTTGGAAGACAGTGGTTGCGTCAACGAAGGCGAAGGCTTTGAGAGCAGAAACAAGCTACGCCAGTGGGGGTGCAGGATCCATCTGCGAGTGCAACAAGTCTTGTCGCACCAACAGGTGCAATGTAAAAAAAACACTAGGCATAACATCCAAGTGTCACGGGGGAAAGCCGTGGAACCTCCCAAAATAAGACGATTATATTGTTAATTGATTCTGCTTCGAATCTTATTGACGTTGATTTTTTTCTTTCTATACATGGACTGAAATTGAATTCCATTTCCCTCGGGTGTCTTCATAATTCTCTTTCTCCCTAGGGGTAAACCAAATGATGGAAGCATTGGCAGCTAATCCAGGTGATTTGGAATCCCCCTAGGGGGAGGTGACATAATGGAGGTTTTCAAGAGGATTCCGCAGAGAAGATTCTCTTGAAACCGCGGGTTTCAAGAGAAACCCGCTGGTGTAGCGGAAATGAATTTAGGTTCGAATTTCCTGCGAAGCGCTCACATTAAACCATGGTGATTGGGCAAATGAAACTCTCACCATTTGCTTATAGATGAAATAGGAATTTAAAAAAAAAACACAAAAATCTCGCAATTTGCAGGGTTTTGGGGAAAAAAGATGCAATTCAGAGTTTTGGAATCGCGAGAAAACAAGACCGTAAAGGCGACGAAGGCGTCTGAAAAACCATGCGGGAAGCGAGAATCGTTTGCGGGATCGATGCCCTCAATATTTGATGCCGAGAGCATCGATCATCGGTCGGAGGGCATTCGCCGAGGGAAAACCTGGATCCCCGCGGCCGTTCGTGTCGATGTCGGCTGCCGAGACGACTCGTGAGTCGCGTGGAGGGATCAGACGATGACGCATTCATCATGTGCTGATGATATGCAGACGAATTCCAAATATTATTCAATACATTTATGATACGTGACTGATAAGTAGTAAGTAAATCTTGTATAACGAACCAAAATAAGTTTGTAATAAGTTAATAATAACTGCGTCAAGGTGCAAATTCTTTTGGATGGATAAAAAATGTATCAATGTACAAATGTATCAAACATGTACAAAAAATGATGTAGATGAGGTTTCAGGAACAATATTCAAATTCAATTCAAATTTCACGAGAATTGGCTATTTCGTTTCAGAACGCGCTGAGCCTCGATGAACCTCGATGATCTCTGCTCGCCTGTCCGCGTTTCAAGCATTCATTTGCAGACTTGCTTGCCTAGTCTCTTCATCTTCTTCATAATGTTTGTAATCAACGAAATTTAATCATTTTATTTTCATTTGCCTTTCTCCATCAAATTTATTACTAAATTGCGAACTAAAACTTCTAGGTTTTTTTGGAAATCGGCATCTTCGTGCAAATTTAACCGAAAGAGAGCGAATTTCAACTGATTATCAATCCTTGCCATGAATTAATTGCTGCATTAGTTGATTAATTATTTATTTATTTTCCTCTCGCTGATACGACAAAGAAACCGGAAAGTGTCGCCGGAAGGCAAAAAAAAGGAAGCAGTCTCTTTGGCTTATTTTTTCTTTGGCTCATGCCAACCAATTTTTATTCTGGAACCGTGCAAGGTGGCAAGGAACAAAGGTTTTCATGACGAAAGCCGACATTAAGCTTCTCGAGAAAGTGAGCAATCTTTAAGTTCGATTAAAATCCGTTTTCTATATTTTCCGATTCTAATCTATGTTAACTTTATTTTAAATCGTTACTTTCGACTATCGGGAACATGGACTTCCTATTAATTTTATTATTTTATTCATTAACATTTTCAGGAAGAACGGGAACAGAAGAAACGCAGAGATGAAACCCTACAAATGAATCCCTCACAATCATCCCAGTCCAAATGTAAGTGCGGATCGATCGGCCCGATGGGTCCAATCGATCCGATCGGTCCGATTGGCCCGACCGTGCAACTGTGGATTTTCCTGGAAGAGAACCTGAAACCAAGTGCAAGGAAACACAACAAAGCCCCAAATCCCCACAAAGCGAAGGAAACTCCCGGCCCCCGGGCGATCCCCGAGCGATCCCCAGCGATCCTTAGCGATCTCCACGAGGACACGGAGCTATTGAACTGGAGCGCTCGACGTGATGGACGTGCAATGGCCTTTAAAAGTCATGGACTCCTTCATGCACACCATCTCCTCCTTGCTTTTCCCCGCTAGGTTCGCCGGCTTTCCGGATTTGTTCTCGCTGAGGAGAAAAAAACACATGTTCCTCTTTCGCATGCGTGGGTCTGTCAATTGTCTCCGTGGTAATTGCTTGTCAATTGTGCTTACAGGGGTCTGAATAAGCAACGGTAGGAGACGAATTCCTTGCTCGTCGCATCGGCACAACCCTCCTGTCCCGCAAAAAAAAGCCATCTTCCATTGATATAATTATCATACCACTGACCCTATTTTCCTGTGACTCATCTAATCCGAAATTAATCCGAATCTAATCTGACCTTCCGCTTTCAGAAGGCGCACGAAAAATTATTCATTCATTTTTCTGAGTAACCCATTCAATTACTTTGTTCTGCTGAAAATGTGCTGGTTTCTCGAGGGAGCATCATTGAACGCTCATCGTTATGAGACGGTGAGTCCACAAGAGCCCACATGAGCCCACATTTCATCCGAAGGTGGCAAGGCGAGGTGAATGTTGACTCGGTATCGACCGATCAACGGGAATGCAATCCGTGAAACTCAACTTCGCGGCAATTACGTTCTCCCGGGAATTGCTTTCTGCACAATTGCATTCTCTGGGCAATTACGTTCTTCGGGCAGGGTTAAGGGCTGAGAGGAAACAGCGTCACCTCCGTGATGCGACGAAGATGCAAACATTTTCAGTCGTTAGCCTTCGCGTGGCTAAAACTAAAACAATGATGATCATAATAATAAATTCACCGCGGCGCGAAACCTTTACATTTATGCCCGATATTCATCGCGAAAGCGCCGTTTTTCGTCACTTAATGTGAATTCGCAATTTCCACTCGTCTGGGAGGAAGAAATCACCGAAGGAGTTCGAAGTGCCAGATTTCGGGGACGTGCAAGTTTACCCGAAAAATAACGTTCAATAAACGCTACAAAAGAAAACATAGGTTACTCGCTGATCGATTGAATGCACATCTGTCTATACCAAATGACTGATCTGAAGGATTCTTACATTTTCCTTCCCCGTCCACAAGGCAAGAATGGATTCGATCAACTCCTGGCTGTCGTCGCCGGTTGCGCTGCAAAGAAAATCATCATAATTCAGTCAGCGGGCGAGGGGGAAGCAAAGGTGTTGCTGGTTCAGGGAAGAGGTTCCTGGTTTATGGATGAGGTTCCTGGTTTATGGATGAGGTTACTGGTTTAGGGATGAAGTTGCTGGTTTATGGATGAGGTTGCTGGTTTTGGGATGATGTTGCTGATTTAGGAAAGAGGTTGCTGGCTTACTCATGGATTTCTCCCAACGGATCGACACGATCGGGCCAGATCGTGAAGACCTCGCGATGGTTGCTGCTGCAGCCGTCGGACTCTTGACAGGGCCAGGTGTATCTCATGACCGTCATGGACTCTGCACGGCGACGATCACCAACTTTCAGCTCGAGACCCGAGGAACGAGAAGGATGACGTTCGTGGACTCACCGCATCCGAAGGGGCGAAGGGAGCACGCCTCCGTCTGCCGCTTCGCCTCCTGGTCTTCCGCCTCCTGGTCTTTCACCTCCTGGTCTTTCACCTCCTGGTCTTTCACCTCCTGGTCTTTCACCTCCTGGTCTTTCGGCTTCTGGTCTTTCGGCTCCTGGTCTTTCGGCTTCTGGTCTTTCGGCTCCTGGTCTTTCGGCTTCTGGTCTTTCGGCTCCACCTGCACACGGCGCAAATATGCGAAATTGCAAGAGATAAGAGGCCGTGACTCCAGGAAGCTCGTTCGGATCGTCTCCATG